CAGACATGACATTGCAGGAAGTTAGCTGTGGATTTTTGTTTTCCTGCCAATGCAAAGTACTGGAATATTATGGAATATTAAATCATTTGGTGTGTTTAAAAATAGAGGTTTATACTTCCGAGTTGAAGCAAGTTTATAAGTTTTACGGGTTTCTCCTGTAAGCTCAGTTTATTTAGCCCTAGGTTTTTATATATTTAGGTAGGTGCATGTTACTGCACTACCCACTCATAGTGAATAATTAAATATTCTGAGATGATGATTAATGTATGCATGGTCAGTTTGTCCAACATAAATACAACACGTAACCACTTGAGCATTTGAGCCACAAACCACAGGCTCTATATTAAATGGCCATTTCAGTGTATTTTCTTTGACCCAGTACCTAATGCCACCCATTTTTACAATAATTTCAAATTTAAAACAGAATGTGACTCACATATAACATACTTTTGAATGTTGTAGTCATTAAAAGCAGTCACCTGCTTTTATGTAAAATTTTGTTGAATATCAGAGATGGTTGCTTTTTTAAATATTGTGAGCCAAATAAAAGACTGGTGTCAGTACATAACCATATTTTTGAATTCTGATTTCTTCCCTGTTTCCCTTTGAGCTTACTTTGAGCAAGAAAATCTATTCTGGCAAAAGACAAGGATGGTTTGTAAACTTCAAGTGACATCTACCTCAGATTTCTGATTCACTTCCACTCACGAAATTCTGATGTAAGCTGTGGAACAGCGGACAAACATGGACACCAAAGATAATGTTGCTGTAAAAATCCCAAAATGAAGGTTAAATGTTAGCTGCAGGGGCAGTCACTTAGCTTACCTTTCCTTGAGTATTCTACTCCACTACAATTCAGAAGTAAATGTTTTATGTTTTACTCCCCTTCATTAGTTACAACTCAGTTTAAAAGAATATGACACCGTTATAAGCAACTCTTTTGTCTGTAAATAGACATTTGGGGTTGTGTATCTAGTAGGTAATTATACTTCTATAGAAAGTGACAGTAAGTAATTGGTTGCATTATGATGTTATAACCTAGTCCACTGTATGCTTTCCCATTTTGGTAAGATTACTGGAATTTTAGCTGACATTACAGCAAATGTTGAGTTTTACATTGAATAGTGGAAGAATATTAAGTTACGTAATGGTTTTGAACTTGTGAGAAAATGAACATCTTGAAGGTTAGAGCATGGGAACAAGCCCAACATTATTTTACTCATTGCTCTCAATTTAAGTGTTGATGATTTTAAAGGTTTTACTTGTTTTTATTTTTCAAATCCTCCTGCTTCAAACATGTAACTTTATTACAAAACAGCCAGGGTATATGCCATGTCATCCCAGGCCATGTCACTGTGATCTTCTGCAAATGAGAAACTTGGCTGAATGTTATTGAATGTATGACATTAAATTACATACAACACATAATTAGACAGAGGGAAAGGTTTATACACGACATATACCATAATGTGTACATTCAATCAGATGAAAGATGAGAAAACTAGACAAAACACAACTAAATAAAATAAATTGATGTACCAATAATAAGCATACATGGTTTGTCTACAAATTGTTGTTCTAACACTGCTGACTGCTGTATGCCACTTACAAAGGACATGTGCTACTTGCCATTTGCAAGAATGATGTAGCACATCATTCATGGTCCACTCAGGGACTGGATTTGGCAACTTTAAAGATCCTTTAAGCGACTTCTTATGAAAACAGAGTCTATAACACCACACTTATTATCTTTTATTTAAACCTGGTCTGTTCCTAAGAAGTGTCCCCCCAATACTGCTTGGTGAATGTATACCCATCCTGAGTTCTGTGTGACTGCAGCTTTCTGGATTGACTGCTCAAAGAGTGGCAGAGAGCAGTAGAATGTTCAGTCAACCACACAGCAGTCAGACAGAAATGTGAATGAGATTCATGCATATACTAGTGTTCAAAACCAACCAAACACTAATCCTCATTGGACTGTAGCGCAGACACCAGGCAGAGCACCAGTAACCTGGATAATGTCATCTTCCCCTTGTGGTGGGAAGGCTGAAATCAAAAACCTTCTGATCCTGGGTACAATATCTACCGTGTCTAAATCTGGGGTTCTCCAAATACCTTAAAGCCAGGTCCAGTCTGGTCTCAAGTTTACTCAATTTAAAGGTTTACTAATTCACTAAGTTTGGTAGGAGATTGGCAGTTGCAGGTTCTACAAGGTAGAAATAAGATCTCCACCCCACAGAAAACACACGACCACTGACGTAAGAAAATTAGTACTGAATGTGTTTAAAAGGAAACTTTGTAATGTTCCACTTGCCTGCTTTTTCAAATTTAAAACATTACTGAAAGTAATAAAATTCTTTGTTTGACACACACCAAAATGCACTGACAAAGATACACTTATAATCAGTTTAAATAGTCCCCGTTTCCCCTTTAACACTTCCTTGAGTTCCTTCAGAGTTCCTTATAGTCTTATTTGGCTTTGTTAGCTCGTTGCTAATAGGCCACAATGAACAGACAGTGGTTCACATTTTATCATGACTGGTTGTTTTTTTTCCACCGTACCTTTTAAGGTATTATAGCACGCAATAATACAGCTTGGAACAAAACCTTAATGCTAACCAAGTAACCGTGGGTTGTTGACTCACCAGGATAATCCATTAATTAGGAAGGAATGCCTGACGGATTTTCTCCGAAGATTCTCTGGCCCAATCCCAATGTCCCCCCTAAGCTCTAAGCCCTGTACCCTCACAGACTTTACTGACGTCACTTGGAAAGTGATTGAGTGCAAGAGGCTGCAAGGGCTCAAAATGCTGTAAACAGGAACGGGACAGCACTTTGCCACTTTACCTTGACAACGCTGAAACCCATTGCACACTTTTTATTTTATGCTTTTGCCTCATTTTTAAGTCCAGCATGCTCTTGCCCTACACAGTGGAGGAGAGGTAAAAGTAAATATATATATTTGTCAATAATCAGTGCACTATTGTTGGTCAAAACAATAGAAATAGACATGACATCGGCTCATAGTCTTCAGTCTCTCTCACTTTAAGAGAAACTGAGAGTTACATTGAATAGTGTTGAATAGTCTAGTAATATAACTGACCAAACACTCCTTTAAAACATAATTGCTTTTTATAAATACCAAAATGAGGCTGCACCAGGATTGCTCTATGGCCACTGGTCACCAAAATTGCAAAACATTGTTTGGCATACTGAGCTGAACTTCCACTCAAGTGAGGAGGGCTGGGCTCCAACAATGGTTACAGTCCCTGCAGGAGGAAAGAGATACAGTAGTGCAATGCTTACATAGAGTTGCAAAGTAATAATAATGGTAGTGGTAAAATATTAATAAAACAATAATAGTAATTATAAGGATTGCAATAATTATAATAATAATTAGAACTGCAAGCAGCGTTGAACAGGCCCTGTGCATCAGGTGGAGCTGACATGGCTCTGAAGTTAACACTGCACATATCAATCACTGGTGAAGTGTGGAAAACATCTCACAATGTGTGGTTGATGTTTCAGTTATTTATTCAATTCAAAGTTGCGCTAAATGGTCAAAATTGCAAGTCCCACTGAATTCACAGGGATTTGTTAAATTTGTGTTCGCAACACCGCAAAATCCTTGAGGGACTGGTTAAAGAAGCTCAAGTCATTACTACTGAGGGCTATAGGAATGCATAGCTCAACAGAACTGTGCCTCTCTGTCAGCCTGGCTACAGTGCTGAAAAGAAACCTGGGGTTGTTCCTATTTTCCTCTATTAATGAAGAGTAATGCGCTGCTCTGGCATTACGGAGGGCCTTTGGGTGCTAGCCAGTGCTTCTGCAGTAATAATATGTTTGAATACTCTCATTTTAAAGGTGCATATACTTTGATTTCCTGTTATAACCTGAATTCACCTTGTGATGAACAATGCATCTATTCTTCTGGGGCCAGATGTGGGAAGGTTGGGTACACACAAAAAACACAGTTCAGACCAGGTGTACACTTTCCTAGAGCCAGCTGCGAGTGATATGATGAGGAGGTGATAAAATAGATATTTATGAGTGATGCATTTTAAAATTGTTTTTATTTACATTTTAGCCATTACTTCCCCGTCAATGATTTTTCAAATTGTAGCCACCACAGTGGGGGTGGAAGCAGAGCTTGTGCACACGGACCCAGTTCCACAATTATTTCCATTTATACAACTGCTCACCAGAAACAGAAATGAACTAAGTCATCCAAATTCACACTGTGAAGGCACAGCCATCAGGAGCAATTTGGAGTTCAGTGTCTTGCTCAAAGACACTTTGACATGCAGAATGGTGGAGCCAGGCATATGTGTTAGGCTAATCTGTTTACTTGTTTTCCAAAGTTTTGCCATTTATTGTTTAGAGAGAGGAAACTATTTTGACCACGCAAATCTGTTTATGGTTTTATACACATCCTCTTTTATATGAACAATGTAGATCCATCCTCATCTGATCTAGCAAATATGATTGTTCTAATTGGTAAATATCACATCTGTTGTAGCAAGTGGAAATCTTCTAAGCCTTCTTTTTCATGGTTAATTAAATTGTTATTTTCTAGTAAAAATACAAGAAAGATGAGTAGAGATATATCCAGGCAATTATTGTTTTGATAAAACTCCCCTGTTATGCTGCTTCTAAATGAGGCTTTGTTTTGTTTTCTATAGCCTTTTTGCCTAACTAGTACCCCCCTTTTCTTTTCTGTTTGTAAAACTCTCTTTCAATTGCACAAACAGTGATTGTATTGTTGATTTATAGTGTTTTCTTCCCCCACCAGAGTTTTGTATGTTATCTTGTCAAATCTTGCGAGGGTTTTTAATGACAGTAACAGACACATCCCAGTGAACAATGGACATGTTTTATTTTGTTAAATGTATTAATTCTAATTCTAGGCTATGGACCGCAGTCATTCGGCACGCCCTTACTGTTGACTGATTGGATTGACGAAAACGTTTCTGTGCTCTGATTGGCTTAAAATTACACAACACAGTTCCGCAAATCTAGTCTGTTTGTGTTTTGACGTTTTTGGAAGGAGCTCTTCAGACCACCACACAAGTCCCTAAGCAAGGACACAGTCAGCGTTCTACACCTCGGTTCGTAACTACAACCGCTTGAAAATACTGTCTTACTGCAACATGAAAAATGCGTCTCCTTCTTCAGGGCTTCAATTGTGTCGTTTTATCACCACAAGGGAGTTTTATCAGCTAACGCTAGCTAGCTTAGTTAGCTCCGGGGTCCTTATCTACTAGTGGAACTTGAGCGTTAGCCAGTAGCTGTATTGTGTTCATTTGGCAGTTGTCACAATTGTTGCCCGTATTAGTCTGTTGGTTGCTAGCGGTGTACGCTAGCTGAATAAATGTTCAGGAAATGTAACCGAAGCTACGATAGCCAAGCTTCTCTGTGTCTTTTGCCAGAGAAGCTCATCTCTCAGTTCAGACATGGAAACACTGTTAACTGAATGCAGCCCAGTAGCCCGGTGTCTCCAGCTGTTGACATCGTTGCAAACGCGTTTGGCGTAACGCAATGTTAGAGAGTTCTTCTGAGAAATTCTAACTCCACTGAACACAGATGACAATTGGACGTTGCTTTACTAAGTGGCTTAGAGCATCAAGACCTTTCAGGCTTAGCTCCCACTTCACAACAGCCTGGTGCATCATCTGCATAACTGCAGTCGCTGCATCAACACAGGCGCTGTTTCCTACTATCTCCCAGCACCTAAACACACACCATGAACTGTCGTAGTGATTCATCGGTGTTATTCAGTTGTGACACAGTTGTGTTTGTTCTCATGTTTGGTGGGATATTTCAACATCGTTTTAAAATAAATGACTCCTAAGAATGACCTTTGAGGGGGGGTTGGTTCTGCTTGTTGTGGCTGGTGACTGCTGTGTCTGTCTGGTGACAGTGACCTCCGACCGGAGGACAGAATTTACAATGAGGGACATTTAATTAGGTACACCTATCTAAAACAAACCCTCTACTACACTAATAAATTCTACCAGTCTGAGGGGCCTGATGATTAAACTTTCTGATCATTTGGAAGACTGTAGTTTGTGTTGCTTTTAAGTTGTTTTGTATTATACCTCTTTAAGTTTATTCCAAAGCTTTATTTTGTCTCCCATATATGATATGGTGCTTTTCACCCGATGTCAGCTGGGATTGGCTCCAGCCCCTCCGCGACCCTGTATGCAGGATAAGTGGTTGACGATGGATGGATGGATATGATATAATTTTGTTTGATTGCGTCTACAGTATTTGTACATTTACAACTTGTAACTCTAATTAATGTTACAAGTGTTAATAAGGGCTGATCCATACTCTGTGGTCATTTGTGTTCTGCAAGATTACATGATACTGAAGCATGCTTCAATGTTCCAATAATTTGTGTGTAAGTGGGAGTGAAAAACACTACACACACACATTAAAAGGATGAATTCCGACACACCACCACTACAGCCTCAAACACAGTATTATTTCAAGATCATTGTACTTTTATTACTGTGTACATTTGATTGAACATCTGGAGGTGGTAAACACAGCTGCTAAAAGCTCAACTAAATATCTGCCTCCTTCTACTTTTTCAAGAAGCCACTAATGCCCAATTTGTTGTTGTTTGAGTGTGTTCCAACCTCTCATGTGGAACCCTCACATGATTGTAAAGCAAAGGCCCAAAGACCACCACAAGATTTGACTTCTGCTCATTGTCCTCCTGAACTAAGCTATGCTGTGTTAGTCTCTTTACCTGAGTGTGTTCTCAAATAGAGTATACAGTGTAGGGATAGTTTGCTAATACTGTACAAAACAACACTTATAATTCTCTTATTCTAGCTGTACTTGATGTTGAATTTTATTTCTCAGTCTGTATGATAATGCTGGAATGTTAGCCTGATATCCAGTAACAAAAAGTTTATGGAATGTAAATGTATTACAGCGCTGAAATGATTAGTTGATTAATGCTTTAGTTGGTCAGCAGAAAATTTAAGTTTTGATTATTCATGAATTTTTCAAGTAAGCAAAAATGCCAAACATTTTCTGGTTCCAAAGTTTTGTAAAGGGTTGTTTTCCCTGTCTTTTATCATTGTAAATTGAAAAGGTTTTTTTAAGGTCAGTCCATCTGAAGACGTTATCTTGGGCTCTGTGAAATTGATGGGTATTTGTCACATTCTTGAGACTAAACCAATAATGTTAAACTTGTTAACATGACACATTCATAATGTGGCTGAATCAAAGCCAAGTGAAGTAACTGCTGCCTGCTGTCCACATGGTATCTGCTCAGATTTCATGCCAGTTTTGGGATGCAGCAGGGAAACAGCTGTATTAGTGGTTTTGTGTGTATGATGTTGTCATGTTAAGTGTCTCTTTGTACTTTTTCAGGGAGAAAAAAAAGCCCAGCAGACAAAATGGCATCGGACTCTCCACGCAGACCTAGTCGCTGTGCTGGAGGGGTTCTGGTGCGAGCGCAAGCTGCTACGTAAGGACAGAAATCTCTCACCCGGTTTTTAATGTTTTATTAGAAATTCCTAAAATTATGATTCTGCATGCATGTATATACCTAAATACTACAGGTGTGTGTGTGTGTGTAAAATTGACATATTGATGAGCTGTTTCACTGAACATATACCAATAAATGCATTATCATAGAGATGACATAATACGCTTGTTGCTGTCACAGGGAGCAGTCTTACATGGAAAGTGTGGTGACCTTCCTGCAAGATGTGGTTCCCCAGGTAACTTTCCTCATTTCTTCACTCATACTTACAGCTGTTAAAAGTTGTGTCCCAGTCCCCCATTACTGTATTGACAGTTTTCAAACAAGTTCCTGCTTCATACTGCTTGTTAACACATCTGAAAGTTGACAGAAAACAAAAAAACAATCAGATGTTTATTGTGAAAGATTATCTCAATATTATCTCAAGCAATTTTCACATCTTAATAAGTTAAATTCCTAATCACACTGGAAAGAATGGAAAACTAAGGCTTCTTGAAAGTTGGGAAATCACTCTAAATGCACATTATCGTAAAATAGTTAAAACATATAAACCAGTTCAAACAGTATGGTCTGTTTAAGTTTAGAACACAAAAAATATGGAAATGTGGGAATTGAGTACTTAACCAAGCTACTTAAACTATCTGAATGATCAGTAGGAGCTCGGAAACCATTACAGGAACTGCTGCGTACCTGAGTACCTCCAGCCAAAAGCAATATACACTGTGGCTGTCTGCAAGTAGCTACCAGTGATTCTTTAACTGTTAATTCTGCTACAGAAATACTTTTGGCTTATGTAGTTACTAGATTTTGGAATATACAGTTGTGTTTGATATGTTGGGCAGTGGTGTTGTGAATATTTGTCGACTCTCTTTTCTGTCTTTCACCCTACAGGCTTACACTGGGGCTCCCCCCACTGATGAAAAAGAGAAAATCATTTGGGTGCGATTTGAGAAAGCTGACATCAATGGTAAGTCTTAACTCTCAGACAACTTTGCTTTGTTTGACTATTGAAAAAGAAGGGATTCTAACTACATTGGGCTCTTTAGTTAAGAAGAATGCCTGATCTCTGTGTAAAACTGTTTGTAGGGTCACTGGTGGCCTAAAGCTTAAAGAAGAACGGGGGGTTGTCTGTTCAATCCCCGGACTGGCAAGATAAATGTTGATGGCTGAAGTGGAAAAAGCAGTGCTTGTCCCTCATTAGTTACCACCACTGAGTAGCTCTTGAGCAAAGCCTTTAACCCCAGGGGCTCCAGTGGAGCTACTCAGTGGCCAGCAGGCCAGACTGTGGTTGGACAGGGCAGCGTCCAGGTGTCAATGTGTATAACTGTGCGAATGTGTTCAGGGTGTTCCAGCTAAAGAGAGGTTCCTCTCGGTGAATCTTCCTGAATAAATAAAGACTAAAAAAATAAGTAAACAGTAAAATTTTACATATTCACTTCTCAATATTTTGCATATGCCTGAACAATTAAATAACTCATATTGTACATGTTGTATTTATAATATTTTGTCATATTTTATTGTCAGATATTTTGTCGCATGCATCGTTTTTTTTCCTGCCGGTTGCTACTGGGTTGATTTAAAATAACAGTAAATGTGGTGGTACAGGACTGCAGATGGTACATTACGGGGGCCGCTGTGGCTTATGCATGTCGAAGTGTCCTTGGGCAAGATACTGAACCCCAAATTGCCCCTGGCGGCTGTTCGGCCAGTGTATGAATGTGTGAATGTTAGTTTCTGTTTGTGTGTGAATGAATGTGTGTGAATGCAGATATAGTGTAAAAGCGCTTTGAGTGTTTGAAATACAAATACGGAGCATTTACATTTACATGTGGAAAAAGATCAGGATCTGGAGCTGTGAAACAAACTTTTAAAATGCAGAAGATCAGGCAAATGCACAATGTAGATCAGAGAGAGTAAATGTAGAATAAGAAAATTATATTAAAGTGATGTGATAGTGAGTACGTGTTTATTTTTGTTAAAGTGCTGAACACGTCCTCTAATTACACTTTACTTAATCTCTCACTTACTGTTTGCACAGATGCTGCCCGCAATCCAGAGTTTATGGAGATGCACAGCGGTACTACTGACCCTCCTCTCTGCCTCATGATTGGCTACACTGACGGGATGCAGATCTGGAGCGTATCTGTAAGTGACGCACCTAATGGGCCTATTAAACTGCAACCTCATCCATTTTCTACCTGGCTATTTTGTGCCTGAAGTTTTCATTGCAGCGTTAAATTCAGATGGATATGTGTGCTGAAACCTTCAGATCAAAATATCATCATTTGGCTCACTATACAGTCATTTTGTGCCTTGGCTACTTTGTACAGTACTAAAGGCCTGCTGGACTCTTCAAAAGTCAACACTAAAAACAAGTCAAGCACTTATTTTGAAGTAAAGTTACAGTTATAGTTTTAGTAGATGGTTTAGTAGATATATATATATATATACACTACGTTGTATGTTAAAGAATAGGTTTTCATGTTCATTCAGTCATCAATAGACAATATTAACAATAGGCCTGTTTATGAATGGTGAAGCATATTTTTCTTTCTAACTTAACAAACTTCATGTGTTGAACATAATACCTTTTTACTTTCTACATCGATGCAAAGTCCTTACAGTTGATTGCGTGCTTGACAAAATGTAAACATTATGTCCTAACTGGGTTCAAAAGTTAAACTCGGGTCAAATCATTTGCTGACCCTGGACCTGTCAGGACATGTCCATTGCCCAACCAAGTGACTGGTGAAAAACACAATGCAGTAACAATGGAGAAATGTACATTGTATTTCTGTGGAGTGAGGTTTATCAGTCAGACCAGCCCTACTGACTGATTAACAGAACAGCTGAAAAACATACCCAGAACTATATTGTTTTTTGTTGTTGTGACTTAGAGTTTATTGTTTTCACGATAAACAAAAAATATGCAAATAATTCAGTCACAAGTGACACTATCAGTCATCAAGTTATGGAACATTCAAGTAACATGTAATGAAAACTATAATGAATACACACGTGACCACAAACAAAGAATAAAAAGAAAATTGTGTATATCAGCCATACCATTATGACCACTGACAGGTGAAGTGAATATACAGGTCCATGTCAGAAAATTAAAGTATCCAGGAAAAGTAAAAATCTTTTCATGGAATTTAATTCAAAAAGTGAAACTTATAAATTCTAGATTCATTATACATACTGTAAGTAAAGTAATATTTCAGGTCTACTGTGTTTTAAAATCTTAAAGATTTTGGCTTACAGCTCATGGAAATTAATAATCCATATCTCAAAATATTAGAATAAAGAATGTATAATACAGAAATGTTGACATTCTGCAAAGTTCGGAAAAATGTTAATTTATGCATTCAGTACATGGTCGGGGCTCCTTTTGCACGAATTACTGCATCAGTGTGGCGTGGCATGGAGGCAACCAACCTGTGGCGCTGCTGAGGTGTTATGGAAACCCAGGTTGCTTTGATAGCAGCCTCAGCTCATCTGTATTGTTGGTTCTGGTGTCCCTTATTTTCGGTACTGCGGGCAGGTGCCATCTCCTGCTGGAAAAGGAAATCAGCATCTCCATAAAGACTGTCAGAAGGTGGAAGCAAGAAGTGCTCTAAAATCTTCTGGTAGATGGCCGCTTGACTCTGGACTTGGAAAAAAACACAGTGGTCCAACACCAACAAATGACATGGCACCCTAAATCATCACAGACTGTGGAAATTACTCAATAAAGACTTTAAGCGACTTGGATTCTGTGCCTCTCCACCCGTCCTCCAGACTCTGGGACCTTGATTTCCAAAAGAAATGCAAAATGTACTTTCATCTGAAAAGACTGGACTTGGAACAACTGAGCAACCAGTCCAGTTCTCTTTTTTCTGTGCGCAGGTAAGACGCTTCTGACGTTGTCTCTGCTTCAGGAGTGGCTAGACACTAGGAATGTTGTTGATTTCCTGAAAACATCTGTGCGTGGTGGCTCTTCATGGACTCCAGCTTCAGTCCACTACTTGTGAGACTCCCCCAAGTGCCTGAATCGGCTTTGCTTGACAATCCTCACAAGGCTGCAGTCATCCCTGTGAATATGTGGTGGACCGGCCAAGGCTTGTTGATACATGTGTGGAGCAAAGGATGGCCTGTGTGGTCCCATCCAACAGATGAGTTACTGTGGCTCAAACTGCTGGAAAAGTTCATGCTGATTCTTAGGGATGAGCAAGTGCACCACTATCAGTATCTGTTCACCAAATTATTAAAACAATTAAATTGTTTGTATAGGTGTCAGAATACACAGAGCATCGCAGTTTGTTGCCTGTGGGTCAGTCAGGGTGCCCATGCTGACCCCTGTCCACTGCTGAAAGCGCCTACAATGGGTACAGGAGCTTCAGAACTGGACAGAGCAGTAGTCTGGTCTGAAGAATCATGTTTTCTTTACTACACGTGGATGGGCGGGTGCGTGTGTTCCCCAGATCTCAATCCAATCCAGCCTCTGTGGGATGTACTGGACAAACAAGTCCAATCCATGGAGGACCCATCTCGCAACTTACACAACTTAAAGGATCTGTTGCTGATGTCTAGTTGTCAGATACACCTTCAGAGGTCTAGTAGAGTCCATGCCTTGAGGGGTCAGGGCTGTTTGGGCTGCAAAAAAGTGACTTACTCAATATTAGGCAAGTGGTCGTATTGCGACCGACCGACCTGTGCATGAAATGCTTGAACCATTTTCTCACCAAGTGAACCCCTTAGTTAGTTGTACTAATATATGATAACAAGATATGGTGCTAAATATAAATCGTACAGGCCCCATTTCAATTGATACTCCTCCACCTTATCAAGCAACGTATTAATTGTTCTAGGGCAGCTAGCTGACCAAGAGGATGTGCCACAAAGATGGTGCTTTGACTAGAAGTTTCCATCCTAACAAAAGGGGACTCTGGATCCAAAAAATGAAAAATAAAGTGTGCACACCCTTAGACTAATACTTTGTTGAAGCACCTTTTGATTTTATTACAGCAGACAGTCTTTTTGGGTAGGAGTCTATTAGCATGGCACATCTTGACGTGGCAATATTTGCCCACTCTTCTTTGCAAAAGCGCTCCAAATCTGTCAGATTGTGAGGACGTCGCCTGTGCACGGCCCTCTTCAGATCACCCTACAGATGTTCAATTGGATTCAGGTCTGGGCTCTGGCTGGGCCATTCCAGAACATTTATCTTCTTCTGGTGAAGCCAAGATTTTTTGGATTTGGATGTGTGCTTTGGGTCGTTGTCGTGCTGAAAGGTGAACTTCCTCTTCATCTTCAGCTTTCTAAACGACGCCTGAAGGTTTTGTGCCAAAATAACCTGGTATTTGGAACTGTTCATAATTCCCTCCACCCTGACTAAAGGCCCCGGTTCCAGCTGAAGAAAAACAGCCCCAAAGCATGATGCTGCCACCACCATGCTTCACTGTGGGTATGCTGTTCCTTCGGTGATGTACAGTGTTGTTTTTGCGCCAAACATACCTTTTGGAATTATGGCCAAAAAGTTCTACCTTGGTTTCATCAGACCACAACACATTTTCCCACATGCTTTTGGGGGACTTGATGTTTGTTTTTGCAAACTTCAGCCGTGCTTGGATGTTTTTCTTTGTAAGAAAAGACTTCTGTCTTGCCACCCTACCCCATAGCCCATTCATATGAAGAACACGGGAGATAGTTGTCACATGTACCACACAGCCAGTACTTGCCAGAAATGCCTGCAGTTCCTCTAATGTTGCTGTAGGCCTGTTGGAAGCCTCCCTGACCACTTTTCTTTTCGTCTTTCCATCAATTTTGGAGGGACGTCCAGTTCTTGGTAAAGTCACAGTTGTGCCATATTTTCTCCACTTGATGATGACTGTCTTCACTGTGTTCCATGGTATATCTAATGCTTTGGAAACTCTTTTGTACCCGTCTCCTGACTTATGTCTTTCAACAATGAGCTCTCTGATGCTTTGAAAGCTCTCTGCAGACCGTGGCTTTTGCTCGGAGATGCAAGAAAATATCAAGAAAATCCTCCTAGAACAGCTGAACTTTATTTGTGATTAATCAGAGTCACTTTAAATGATGGCAGGAGTGTAATGACTTCTAGTTAACCTGAGTTTGAATGTGATTTGTTAATTCTGAACACAGCCACATCCCCAGTTATAAGAGGGTGTGCACACTTATGCAATCAGGTTATTGTAAGGTTTTTATTTGTCATTTTTGCCGCTCAAAGATTGCAGTTTGTTTTTCAATTGAATTGTTCACATTAAAGGTGGAAAACGTTCAGACATGACTTATCTTTGTCTCATTATTTTACATCATAAGAACCTGGCATTTTAACTACTATATATACACCCACTGCATTTTAATAAATGTCACAACCTGGCTCAACAGTAGGTAACAAAAGCGGGAAACCACACAGTCTGAAAATAACAGAAATAAATTAAGCAAAATATAGGTGTCTGTCAGATCAGTGTGTATGTGTGAGTGGAGTATGTAGAACACAAAGAACCAAACAAAACAGAAGCAGTGGGCAGGCCAGGAGAAGAGGGAGTCAAATCATCAAACAGGCTCCTTTATAGCCACCTGAGCCCCGCCTGCTCAGGTGTGTTGCATCTCACACCAGATATCAACTCCACCCAGCAATTACCTGGATTAAAGGGACAAAACACAGCAAGATACAAACAACAAGAGAGGGCCCAAACCTGGGGCCATCACATAAGTAACACCTGAATATTTCCTCAGTTAACCATGTCACCAGTTTTACATAGAACAAATGATAACTCTCCTTGCTGTAGTCAGGTGTTTATTGAGATTTTTTTGTGTGCAATTTGGTACTGAATTTTGGTACCTACTGTGTGTAATTCACCACTGTCGTAAATAAGGACAGCTGAACACATGATTTGTTATGATTACAGTACTTTTACAATTCAAAAACTAGCAAGTCGCCAACTTAGCTAACACAGACAAACGTCAAGCAAGTGCGATAATAGCAACATTACATACCAGTCCAACAGAAAGAAGGCCAGCTCGACCTTTTTTTTGTTTTTCACAAAATGGAGCTTGAAACTTCCTATATAGTGACTGATGCAAGAGCACAGTTACTGATGTCCGAGTGTGTTATCTAGTAAGTTTGCTTACATCAACTT